CTATATATAAAAATAGATTTTAAAAAATAAATAAAATTTAGCCAACTGCAAAACAATTTCCCTCTATGCTTTTAAAAATGTCAGCATTTTGTAAGACAAGGAAAGGCCAAGGAGCTGTTCCAGATTAAAGGAGACTAATGATACAGGATATGTAAAAGCAACATGTGATCCTTGACTGGGGAAATGAGACAGAACATGGACTATGTATTAAACGATTTACCTCATGTTAATTTTTCTAAAGTTTGATCATTGTAGCATGATTATATAAGAGAATATATAGAAGATACGGAAGTATTTAGGGATAAACGGACATGATGTCTGAAAATTATTCTCAAATGCTTTAGCCATAAATAATGATAGACACAGAGAGCAAGAGAAGGCAAATGTGGCAAGTTTCTAACATTAGTGAATCTAGGTGAAAGGTCTATTTGAAGTCACCTTATTTTACTTCCAGCTCCTCTATGGGTTTGAATTGTTTTCAAGAGAAAAAAAATGTTTGCCAAACTTATATATGTAAATTGGTATTTGTTTTTTTAATTTATGCTTCTCTGACTACCAGTGAGATTGAACATCTTCTCATCCATTTGTTGGCCATTCAGTTCTCCATTCTTGTGAATTTAAATTCTTTTTCCTAATTCTGCTTGGCTGTTTGTCTTTACCCTATTGACCTGTCAAAATTCTATCATGTTCTGAATGCTGATTCTTTGTCAGTGTGTTTTGCAAGCAATTTCTCTTACTCTTTGGTTTGTCTTTTAACTTCATGTAATGAGTTCAGTAAGGAGTCCCAGCCTGTGAACATATAAAAGTGACTTTATTTTCAGTGATTTCCCACTAACTTGTCTTATTTTGAACTCTTCTGCTGAATGGAGGATCCGTTTACAACATCTTGTCAAGACCTTGTAACTTTCCAATGACTTTCCGTTGTTAGAAAGTCTCTCTTTTTTCATTAAAGAGACAGTTGTATTTATTTTGAAACTTAAATTACCAAATCAAATCTAGCGCCCTCCTCCTCACCCATCAGAGAGTTACACCTTTGTGTGACTGGTGGCTGAAGGCTGCGGTCTGCTTTGTTCCCACCTCCCCTGCTGACTCTTCTAGGTGCTGGTCCTCTGCTACGCAGAGAGGGAGGAGGAAGGAGCCAAAGGCAGATGTCTTTTCCCTTCATTTAACTGTAGGTTGCAGTTTCCTCCGTGTTGTTTGTCACCACTGCTCTAACACTGACCAAAGTTTGTTGTTCTGCCTGTGGCAGGGCACCGAAGTGCTGACTGTCTAATTGGGCGGGGGCAAGTTCAGAGGATTTGAACAGGCGAGGTGGGCTGCTTTCCCTTTGCTCAGCTCCCTGACGCAGAGATTTGGCCCTGACTTGCGATGTGGGTCTAATTGTCTGAGCCTCGTTTACTGAATAGAGTATCATTTCCCACTGAATTGTATTTCACACAACTATACCTTCCATGCAGGTAAGGGAGAGAATAGCCTTTCTCCCCCAAAAGCCCATGATCCCTCCCATGTCTCATTTCTTTTCCTTGTGGGGAGTGAGGAGGAAGTTGGTGGTAAGTTCAGTACTGGTCTAGTGATTCTCAATAAACCCTGAAGGGAGGGAGATGGCTGGCTCCAACAGCAAGTGACAACGTGGTCTTAGACCATGGGATACTTGGCATCCTTTATCATCAGTTTTGGGTTTATCAGCAATCCCAGGACAACAGGAAAAATCCCATCTGACATATGGTTACATTTCATTGGTATCCTTCCTTGTATGAAAATTTTAAATTGTCATAGTAGGGTCAGATTTATCAACCTTTTCCTTATGGCTTAGCCTTTCTGTTAGCTTTCTGAAGAAACATTTCCCTATTCCTTTCAAAGTTTTTGCTTTGCACATTTAGATCTTTCGTGCATTTGGGTCTTCTTTTTGTGTGTGGTGTGAGGAAGATCTAATTTTAACTTTCTCATAAGGATAGCCCATCGTCTCAGCACCACTTGTTGAATAGTCTTTTCTTTCCTACTGATATGTATTACTGCTTTTCAAGCTGCTTTTAATGAATAAACATTTCTTTGTTTTTCCTTTCTATAGGAATTTGCCTGCACTGTCCCCTAAACTTAATTATATCCCTGATATGTTTACCCATCATAGTGAATTGTTCCAATGAACTTTGTGTTCACTGTTGAATCCCCAGTGCCTAGTACCTGACACAGAGTTGATCTTCACTAAATATTTGGTGAATGAATGAATGAGTCCTGGCCGAGATCCACCCAGCTGTGAGTCTGTCCTGGAGTCCAGTTTCCACACAACTCAGCAGATGTTATACATATTTTATTAAGACCGATAAAATGGGCTTTTCCTTTTCCATAGCATGGCTCCCTCTTGATCTGTCATTATTCTCAGACATTTCAAATCATCCTAGACTTCTCCCTTTTACTTGACCTTGGCATCTAATGGATCACTTCGGTTTATAATTTCTACTTTCTTAAAACTGAGATATATTTTTCACTCTCATGATACCTGCATTTTAGTTCAGATCTTTCTTCCTTTCCGTTGTTATCTTTTTACTGTGCTATTTGATATATTCATAAGAATATGTGTAACACATAATTAATTATGAAGGATAATTACATGCACACCTAGGAAACTACCACCTCCCCAAGAGTGATAACGTTATCTGTCCATTGCCTCTCCATGGGTCTCCGTCCTAGACCACACCCTTACCTCCACCGAAGGGGTAATCACTATCCTAAAGTTTGGGTTTCTCATCTTCTTGCTTTGGTTTTCTTTTCAAATATAGGTTTGTTTGTTTGTTTGTTTTTTAACATTTTTAATAGTCCTAAAAGTACATCATGTAGATTTCCTCATTGTT